GGGGCGCGGCCCGTGGGGTCCCGGGGCCAGTGGGCTTCGGGGGCTGGCTGGGGCCCTCTGTGTGCACTCCGTGTCCTCGAAGCACTCCAGGCCCAGGCAACCCCGGGCTCCAATTTTTTGCAGAAATGAGGGTCTCGCTAGCCTCCCAGGATGGTCTCGAATTCCTGGCTTCCCAAAGTGCTGAGATTACCGGCGTGAGCCTTTTATCAAGCAGTTTACTGTTGCTTGGGATTAAAAGTTGAGTTCCTCCGCCGAGCTTCTTGAGGACAGCGGGCTTCTGTTTTCCGCACTCCCCTGTGGTACATCACAGGTCCTCAGTAAACATGTTGACTGAATGAATGAAGTGGTACCAGCGTGTGCAGAGGCAAGAGAAAACCTGCTATTGGGCGAATCGTGTAGGGCTCACGAGGCAGTCAGACAGGCAGGGACATCTGAACACAAAGGGCCCTGCACTGTAGGCCCGAAGGAAACCTGAGGGTAGGAGGGAGATTTGGATCTGAGTTGGGGAGTGGTTGCTCGGGTGCATGTTTGTAAAGATCATCATCGCATGGAGAACTTGGTGGAAGGGAGTCGGGACTACACGTGAGGAAAGCAAGAGAGCTGGATTAGGCCTGGTGAGGGCTGATGGTGGCTTGCAGAAAGGCAGCAGCTATGGATGGAGAGAAGGGGACAAACAAGAGGTGGTTTGGAAGAGAAGCTGACAGAACTCAGCGTTTGGATGAAGGTGGGAAGGAGAAGAAGGCACAGAGAATGACTCCTTGAATTTTGGCTTGAGCAGCTGGGTGGGTGGTGGGGTCATCTACTGAAATTGAGGTGTTGGGAAGAGAAGCAGATTGGGGGAGGGGAGAGAATTCGATTTTGGAGAGTGTTGAGGCCTTTGTTCATGGGGAAACCCAGAGTTTGACTGGATAAAGCAGTCTGGCGTCATGAGTATTTATGTGGTCATTGAATCCCCCTGAGATGGTGTGTAAGAAGCTGGAGTCAAGAACAGAACCTAAGAAGTGACAATATCTTAGTAGTGGACAGAGGGAGGTGGTACAAAAAGGAGGCAGAGTAGCCAAAAAGGCAGGAAAACAGAGAATTTTGTGTCATGGGTTCTGTGGGAAGAGTATAAGGAGAGAGTGCCAGGCGTGGGGGCTCAGGCCTGTAATCCCAGCACTTTGGGAGGTGGAGGCGAGAGGATTGGGAGTCCGGGGGCTCAAGACTAGCCTGGACAACTTGGCAAAACCTCCTCTCTACAGTAAATTTAAAAATTAGCCAGGCGTGCTGGCGTGCACCTGTGGTTCCAGCTACTTGGAAGGCTGACGGGAAGGATCACCTGAGCCCAGTAAGTTAAGGCTGCGGTGGCTGAGAGTGTGCCACTGCGTTCCAGCCTGGGCAACAGAATGAGACTCTGACTCCAAAAAAAAAAAAAAGACAGTGATCCACAGTCTCACATGCCATAGGAGAGTGAGCAAAACCAGAGCTTGTCAAGGTGAAGACCCAGCGCCCAGGTGGAGAAAGGAGCCTTGGTGATGAAGGAGGGGGAGGTGGGACATGGGTGGGGCTGCAGGAAAGAAAGTTTCCGTCTCATGCTGTTCGTCTTCTCTCTGTGGTGTTCAGTGAAGTTACTCACTGTTTGCACTGTGGGGTGAGGAGGTCTAAGATGCTTATTTTTCTGTGTCCCTAATGTCCAGCACAGATAAGCAATGTTTCTTGACTGCATGAATCGCACAGAGGGCACAGTCTTGCTGCCAACACGTTCCCTGCCCTGTGGGGAGAAACAGACTCAGAAATGACTGACCATGCTGAATTCAGGGGAGAGCAATTCATTCTGATTGAACAGGGTTTTATGAAGGAGATGGTGTCTGACTTTTGCATTTGGGTAGGATTCTGTGATTCAGAGCCAGACCAGAGAGAACAGTCAAGGCTGAAGACACAGTGCAGAGGGCAGAGGGAAGATGCAGCGAACTAGACCTCTTAGGATCAGGAAAGGAGGACTTCCAGCAGAGGCAGGGCTCTGAGATGACTCCAGCGGGAGGAGCTGCTGGGAGCACGGGTGGAAGGAGGCTTCTGTTTTCTGGGCTCAGCAGGCCCAGGTGCTGGTGAGGGGCCCTCATCTTCGGCCCTGCAGCTGGAGCCAGCAATGCTGGCTTAAGGACCTGTGCTAAGCTCCTGAGCCATGCTTCTTGTCGTTCTAGCTGCCAGCTCCAAGACGAGCTCGGGAGATGCCTCCTCTCTCAGCATCGAGGAGACCAAGTGAGTGCTCTCTCTCTTCTGTCTCTCCTTTTTCTTTGGAGCCAGGTGGTTCCTGGAGCTACCACTGGGGAGGCTTTCTCCCACCAAAGCGTGCTGGAGGAAAGGCCGCTTAAGTCATCATAGCTGATATTTGAGTTATAGAAGAGGAAACTTAGACCTAAAAGGAAGGGTGGCATTCACCGGCTGGGGCAGGCCAGGCTAGCACCCACGTTCCCAGCTTTGGAGGCCAGCATGCCTCCCAGCGCCTTCTCCTGCCTGGTCAGGCCCTGTGTCGGGGCCCTTGAGGACCACTCTCTCCCCCCTTGTTTCACCTCCTGTCTATGAAGAAATGCACCCGACACCCCATTTCTTTGACACTTGTGTCTCTTGTTCTCAGTAAACTCCGGGCAAAGTTGGGGCTGAAACCCTTGGAGATCAATGCTGTCAAGAAGGGTGAGTAGAGGGTTGAGGGAGGGGCCTGGGTGGGGGAAGGAGGCCATCTGCAGGGGTCTTTGAAAAACATGGGGCCAGAGCACAGACTCAGCACCATTTACTGCTCTTGTGTGTACATGTTTGCCAGAAGGCACGAGTCCCTCCTTGTTGCCACAGACTCTGCTTGCTCTCTGAGTTGGACTGGTTGGCCACCACATCCTTGTGGTGAGGCCATGTTGGATGAGCTCAGAGAGGTGCATACATGCTGCACTGGGCTGTGCAGGACTGGATTTGTTGGTGTTCTCGAAAGCATGAATGAAGGGCCTCAGAAGGCATAGAGAGTCCTGTCATGCTGTGTGGGTGACATGGGAACACGGGGCTGAGGTGGGAGCGGGGAGGCAAAGGGTTTGTCCCCCTCTCCTGGCCCCTTCTGGCCCCTGAGCTGGAAGGGGCAGGGTGAGTGGCTCCCTCCTCTCCCCACCAGCCATGGGCGGGCATAGCCTCACGTCTGGGCCCCCCTTCCAGAGGCGGGCACCAAGGAGGAGCCCGTGGCAGCTGACATCATCAACCCCATGGCCTTGCGGCAGAGAGAGGAACTGCGGGAAAAGCTGGCAGCTGCCAAGGAGAAGCGCCTGCTCAACCAAAAGCTGGGGTAAGGGACCTGGGCGGGCAGGTGGGGGAGGGCTGGGGAGGCCACCGGGGTTGGCTGCCTCTTGGGTTGTGGTTGGCAAGCAGGAGCTGGGCTCCCCAGAGCATCACATCCTTCTTTATTCAGGAAGATAAAGACCCTGGGGGAGGATGACCCCTGGCTTGATGACACTGCAGCCTGGATCGAGAGGAGCCGGCAGCTGCAGAAGGAGAAGGACCTGGCAGAGAAGAGGGTGAGCACCAGGCTTGTGGGGTATTGCCCAGTGGCTCTGGTGACCTGACTGGCGGTGAGGCAGGAGACTGACCCTTGAGGATGGTGAGACGGGCTTGGAGAGGATGTGGCCGTGGTCAGTGATGCCTGCTTAGGTTCCTAGCCGCACGCCTGTGAGGCCTGCCCTGTTGCACTCCCCCCAGGGTTTTCTGGTGGTGCTGAGTGACCCGAGGTCACAGGTTACCCCGTCTCTGTCCCACAGGCCAAGCTGCTGGAGGAGATGGACCAAGAGTTTGGTGTCAGCTCTCTGGTGGAGGAGGAGTTTGGGCAGAGACGGCAGGTGAACCACAGCAGCTGGGGATGCAGACCAGGGGCACTGGGGACCTCGGTGCGGGGATCCCAGGGCTGGGTGGGCCGAGGGCGGCTCTGGACTCGGCTGACCCTCCCTTAGGACCTGTACAGTGCGCGGGACCTGCAGGGCCTCACCGTGGAGCATGCCATCAATTCCTTCCGAGAAGGGGAGACTCTGATCCTCACCCTCAAGGACAAAGGTGAGTCGAACCACGTGCCCTGGTTGGGGCACAGGCGCCGCTGAGTTGAGGGCAGGCGTGAGTGGCTGCGGCTCTGCCCCGTCCAGGTGTGCTGCAAGAGGAGGAGGATGTGCTGGTGAACGTGAACCTGGTGGACAAGGAGCGAGCAGAGAAGAACGTGGAGTTGCGGAAGAAGAAGCCAGACTACCTGCCCTATGCGGAGGATGAGAGCGTGGACGACTTGGCCCAGGCATGGCCGGGCAGGGTGGGCGGCGGGGCTGGAGACCGTTGGGAGATGGTGGCTCTGGGCTCTTCAGGGGCCGGGCCGGGTCCCAACCCGCACCCCTTGGCCCACAGCAAAAGCCTCGCTCTATCCTGGCCAAGTATGACGAGGAGCTTGACGGGGAGCGGCCGCAGTCCTTTCGCCTGGAGCACGGCGGCATGGCCGATGGCCTGCGGGAGCGGGAGCTGGAAGAGATCCGGGCCAGGCTACGGCTGCAGGCTCAGTCTCTGAGCACGGTGGGGCCCCGGCTGGCCTCTGAGTACCTCACACCCGAGGAGATGGTGAGTCTTGGGGGCAGTCCTCCCTCCCCCGGGGCTCACGTGCACCCGCATGCACCGAGGAGGGAAGGCAGGTGCTCCTGTTCATGAAGGACTGGGCCTCGTGGGCAGGCAGTAAATGGCAGCTGGGGGAGGCACCGGATGCAGACAGAGCAGCGACTGCCGGGCCAGGTGGCCCTGAGTCTGTCCGGGCTCTGCCAGGCTGCCAGCTTGTGCCTTGGGTGAGTCATTGAAATAGCTGTGAGCCTGCGGCGCCCTATCTGACAGTGATGGCGGGAGCCACCTCCTGAGTTGCTAGGAGAACTCGGGGAATGAGGGTAAATGGTAATTTTATGAGTGTATGTGGATCTTGCATGTGGAGTGACTATGTGAACACAGGGCAGGTGGCTGGTGTGGGAGATGTCTTACTAAGTGGGTAAGAGCAGGCCTCTGGAGCTAGTCTCCCCACCTCTCCCACCTAAGAGCGGGGCAAGCCAGGCACAGTGGCTCGCGCCTGTAATCCCAAGCACTTTGGGAGGCTGAGGCGAGAGGATCGCCCGAGCCCACGAATTAGAGACCAGCCTGGGCCACTTGGTGAGACTTCGTCTCTACAATAAGTCAAAAATATTAGCCGGGCGTGGTGGTACATGCCTGTGGTTCCAGCTACTTGGAAGGCTGAGGCGGAAGGATTGCCGGAGCCCAGCAGGTCGAGGCTGCGGTGGCTGGGAGCGGCCACTGCACTCCAGCCTGGGCAACAGAGTGAGACACCAACTCAAAAAACAAAAAAAGAGCTGGACAACCTTGGGGAAGGTGCTTAACCTCCCTGCGCATCAGTTTCCTCATCTCACAAGTGGATGTCATTCATGTGCGGGAAGTGCTCAGGATAGGCTGGCACAGAGTAACACTGAGGAAGCGTTCACGCTTGCGGGCTTGTGCCTGGCCTGCCTTCCCTGCCTCACGTCTCTCTTCCCCTCAGGTGACCTTTAAAAAGACCAAGCGGAGGGTGAAGAAAATCCGCAAGAAAGAGAAGGAGGTGGTCGTGCGGGCGGATGACCTGCTACCTCTCGGGGACCAGACTCAAGATGGGGACTTTGGTTCCAGGTGGGCTCGGACACGGTGGTGGGGTGCCGGGGCTGGCCTGCCTAGCAGCCGTTACTCACGAGAGGCCTCCTTCCCTCAGGCTTCGAGGCCGGGGCCGGCGCCGGATGCCTGAGGTGGAGGAGGAGGTCCAGGAGGAGGAGGAGAAGGAGGAGCCCGTGCCTGAGCCCCCGCCCTCGGATGACACCCGGGTGGAGAACATGGACATCAGCGATGAGGGTGAGGGGCCGCAACGGGGTTGGGGGCGTGGAAGGGGCGGGTGCAGGAACCCGGGGCCTGGGGTGCTATCTGAGTGGGGACCCCCCATGTCTCCCCCAGAGGAGACTGGTGCCCTGCCGCCCGAGTCCCCAGAGGCGCTGGAGGAGGATGAGGCTGAGCTGGAGCTGCAGAAGCAGCTGGAGAAGGGGCGCCGACTGCGGCAGCTCCAGCAGCTCCAGCAACTGCGAGACAGCGGCGAGAAGGTGAGGCTGGGCGCCATGGGCCTGGTGCCGGGTGTGTCTGTGGCGACCTGGCCTCGCGAGCACACGTGCCTGTGTCATAAGCAGCCCTCGCATCCCTGTCCAAAGGCCTTTTCCGTTCACTGTCACACTATGGGCAGGTTTCCGGATTGCTGCAGTGTTTTCACCATGGGGTGCTTGTTTTAGGGTGAGATCCTGGCCGGTCCTCGTCCCTCCTGTGAATGCTTGTTGGATGCCCGCCACGAGGGTGGTGTTATTTTCTGGCTGGGGCATCACTGGTGAACAGGAAGCCGAGGTGCCTGTGACCGTGGAGCTGACTTTCTAGTGTGTGTGGGAACAGCAGTGACCTTGTGGACACATGAACAGACAGCAGTCGTTTCTCTCTCTCTCGCACTTTTTCTTTTTTCTGAGTCGGAGTCTCACTCTGTCGCCCAGGCTGAAGTGCAGTGGCATGCTCATGGCCACCCCAGCGTAGACCTGCTGGGCTCCAGCAATCCTTCTGCCTCCGCCTTCCAAGTAGCCTGAACTACAGGCACGTGCTACTACGCCCAGCTAATTTTTTTTTGTTTTTTGATGTATTATAGAGATGAGGTCTCACCAAGTTGCCCTGGTCTTGAACCCAAGGGCTCAGGCAATTCACTCACCTTGGCCTCCAAAAGCACTAGGATTACAGGTTGAACCAATGAGTCCAGCCAGGGGGAAGACCTTTCAAAGGGTGACATTTGAGACAAGACTGGAAAGAGCCAGCCCTGCAGAGGTGTGGGCATGGAGGAGGGAGGACAGACTGGGCGTTCAGGCTGGGGGTTCAGCAGATGGCTTCAAGACAAATAACCTTAGAGCGCTTGAGGACCAGGTAGGCTGGAGCAGAGAGTGAGGGGGTGGTGTGAGTTGAGGAGAGGTCAGCGGGACCAGGGTGGGGTACCTTGAGGCCAGGGTCATCGCTGACCCTCAGAGGGCACTTCCGTGTGCCAGGGACTGCTCAAGTGCTGTGTGTGTAGTGTTTCTTTTAATCCTCGTAGAGATACTTGTTCTGTTATCTCCATTTAACAAAAGAGGAATCTGAGGCACAGAGGCATTAGGCAAGTTGCCCAAGGTTACATGGCTGGTGGGTGGCAGAGCTGGGATTTGAATAGCTTGACTCCAGAGGCCACACTTACACCCCTATACTTCCCACCTAGGGAGCGAGAAAGGCTTGAGAGAAGTGCCTGAAGTGAGCTCCAGGTACCCACCATGACAGGTAGGGTAGAGGCAGGGTCTCCGGCAGAGGAATCAGAGATCCAGAGTGTTAGAAGGAAAGCCTTACCTGAGCCAAGAAAGGGTTTCAAGGTGAGGGAGTGAGGGCATCTTCTATGCTGCTGAGAGGCAAAGTCAGATTTGGCACCGTGGAGACAGTTTTGGTGGGTTCAAGAGGACAGGCAGATATAGGAGTTGAGGAAGTGAGGGCTGCAACTGGGCAGGTGTCTTAGAGCAGGGGTGAGCAGACCTTGTGTTGAAGGGCTAGGTAGGTTTAAGGGCTGTGATCTCCCAATGCTACCTAGGTGCTCGGAAAGGGGCCACAGGTGGTATGTAAATGAATGGGCATGGCTGGGTTCCAGTAAAGCCTTATAAGGACAGGAAGTGGGCCATAGTTTGCCCCTCCTGGCTCTAAGGAGGTGCAGAGAATAGGGCAGTAGGCTATAGGGGCTGTGAGTTGAGGGAGGTTCTTCTGTTTCATATTTAATAGTTAAAAGCATTAATATTTGAAAATCATACCCAAGAATCATAGAGTTTTATGACTGAAAGGATCTTACATGGCCCAGCGGTTCTTAGCCTGACTGTACCTTAGACTCACCTGTACCACACCCCCACCGTTTACATGCAGAAAAGTTGAAAACACATCTCGGTGAACACGTTTGTTTGTGCTTCCTCTGGAGTCAATGATGAGAATCATTTTGTTACAGTTCTCTTCTCTCTGACTTGAACATCTGGCTCAGTGGTAGGACCATTTACTGAGATGAGAAGGACTGGGAATGAACAGGTCTGGGGAAGAAAATCAAGTGTTTGATTCTGGTTAGGTTTGAGATGCCTCTTTATCAGAGGTGTATTGAGAAGGCAATTGGCTATATGAATTGAACTTCAGAAGAGAGCAGGTATGGGTGACATAAATATGGAAGTCTGTATATAAATGTAATTTAAAGCCAAGAAATTGACTGGAATCACCAAGAGAATGAGTGTAGAGAAGAGATTGGTATATCAATTATAGCCAAGTAAAGCTTTTAACGAAATGTGGCCAGGCACAGTGACTCAAGCCTGTCATCCCAGTAGTTTGGGCGGCCGAGGTGAGAGGATTACCTGAGCCCAGGGATTTGAGACCGCCTGGGCAACTTGGTGAGACCTCATCTCTACAGTAAATCAAAAGCTTAGCCAGGTGTAGTAGCATACGCCTGTAGTTCCGGCTACTTGGAAGGCTGAGGCGGAAGGATCGCCGGAGCCCAGCAGGTCGAGGCTGCGGTCGCTGGGAGCGGCCACTGCACTCCAGTCAGGGTGACAGAGTGAGACTCCAACTCAAAAAAAAAAAAAAAAAAAAAAGGAATAAAATTAATATATGCACGTGTATACACATAAATAATAAAGATGAGATCTTACTAAAATGAAGGGCTCAGGATAAGAACCTGAGAAGGAGAGCGAGTGGGGAAGGTGAAGAGGAACGTGCGTCATCCTGGCAGCCATGGCAGGAAGGCTCTTGAGAAGTGAGTGATCAGCTGTGATAAATGCTACAGAGAACTTGGATGTCAGGAGGATGAAACTTGACCTTTGGATTGGGCAACACAGAGGTCATTGATGCTCTTGTCTAAACATCATTTCTGTGGATTGGCAGGAAGTAAGAGGGCCAGCTCATGCAGGCAGTAACAATGTTGCTAGATACAATATTAATATATAAAGGTCAATTGTGTTTCTGTCCACTAGCAACAGAGTTGTAAAATGTAATTTTTTTCTTATTGACTCAAGACATCTTTAATAAGTTTGGAAAATGTAATTTTTAAAAAGATACAGTTTAGGAAAGCAATATGGCTACTAAGATAATATGGGTAAGCAATGACAGACAATATGGATAAGAAATAATCAAGATAGCAACAAAAAGGAACACATGATGTGCAAGACCTATTGGGAAAAAAATTATAGTACATTTCTGAAAGATGCATAAATAGATGCTTTATCATATAAGTTAGCTAGGGATGCTGCAACATCTGACTGGGTGTTGACAAGTTTATTTCTCACGGTTCTGGTGGTCCAAGGTCAAGGTGTCCCAGATTTGGTTTCTCCTAAGTCCTCTCTCCTGGGCTTGCAGATGACCTGCATCCTTCCTGAGTCTTCCCCTTCTTAGAAGGACACCAGTCCTGTTGAATGAGAGCCTTCTTACCCTTGTGACCTCAAGCAGCCTTAATTAGCTCCCTGAAGGCCATCTCACCGTACACAATCATTGGGCATTAGGAGTTAGTTCATGATACAAATTTGGGGGTGGGGGACACAATTCAGGTCATAACTGTGCTCAGGGATGGGACAGTATTGTAAATATCGTAAAGGGCATTTCTAGGTTAAATGCAATTCCAGTCAAAATTCCAAAAGGAATTTTTGTGGCACCTGGCAAACTGATTCTGAAATTTATAAAGTAGGGTAATGGCAGTGTGGTACTGACATGGGGACAGGCTAATAAGGGCAGGGAGACCAAATGGCGGCCCAGAAGCAGAATCCTGAGAGTAGCAGGCCGTGTCCTGCTGGGAACAGTCAGTTTCATAAGTGGGGTTTGGACAGTTAGCTCTTTGGAAAAAAATGAAATTGGAGTTGTAACTTACACCTTAGAGATAGCTTAAGAACTTCAAAGTAAAGTCATTTCAGAACCAAATAAAGAAAATTACGTTTATGACTTTGTGGTAGAATAGATTTTTTTATATTTTTAGAGACAGGATCTCACTCTGTTGCCCAGTCTGGAGTGTGGTGGTGTGATCATGGCTCACCACAGCCTCAAACTCCTATGTTCAAGCAGTCCTCCTGCCTTAACCTCCCAAATAGCTGGGATTATAGGCATGTGCCACCACGCCCTGCTAATTTCTTTCTTTTTTTTTTTGATAAGTAGGATCTCACTGTGTTGTTCAGGCTGGTCTTGAATTCCTGGCCTCAAGTGATCCTTCCACCTCAGCCTCACACCTGTATTCCCAGCACTTTGGGAAGTCTAGGTGGGTGGACTGCTTGAGCCCAGAAGTTGGAGATCAGCCTGGGCAACATAGCGAAACCTCTTCTTAAAAAAAAAAAATTAGGCTGGGCTCAGTGGCTCAGCCTGTAATCCCAGCACTTTGGGAGGCCGAGGTGAGTGGATTGCGTGAGCCTGGGTTCGAGACCTGCCTGGGAAACTTGGCGAGACCTCATCTCCACTGTAAATCAAAAATAGCCGGGCGTGGTAGCGCGTGCCTGTAGTTCCAGCTACTTGGAAGGCTGAGGCGGAAAGGATTGCCGGAGCCCAGCAGGTCGAGGTTGCAGTGGCCAGGAGTGGCCACCGCACTCCAGTCTGGGTGACAGAGTGAGACTCCACGCAAAAAAAAAAAAAGTAAGAGCTTCGACTTTTTTTAAGCAAAAGATACCATAAAGAATGTAAAAAATCATCAGCTGGGTGTGGTGACTCACGCCTGTAAACCCAGCATTTGGGAGGCAGAGGCAAGAGATTATCCTGAGTCCAGGGCTTTGAGACCAGCCTGGGCAATTTGGTGAGACCTTGTCTCTACAGTAAATAAAAAAATTAGCTGGGCATAGTGGTGTACACCTGTGATTCCAGCTACCTGGAAGACTGAGGCAGAAGGATCACCTGAGCCTAACAGGCTGTGAGCGTGCCACTGCACTCCAGCCTGGGTGACAGAATGAGACTCTGACTCAAAAACCAAAACGCACTGCAGCATCAGCCTGTTCAGGGATAGGCCTTCACGTGGTGACGCTATAGAGACAAACAGGTGACTCAGGACCATGAACTTGGGAGGAGGCGCTGGTGCTGGTGAGGGGTAGTCGTGTGTGTTCTCAGCCTGGTCCTGAGATGTGCATGTTTCTTTATTTTTTAAAAGCGTGTGGGCTGGGCCTAGTGGCTTAGCCTGTCATCCCAGCACTTTGGGAGACTGAGGCGAGTGAATTGCCTGAGCCCGCCGGTTTGAGACCAGCCCGGGCAACTTGGTGAGACCTTGTCTGTACAATAAATAAAAATTTAGCCGGGCGCGGTAGCGTGCACCTGTTGTTTCGGCTACTTGGGAGGATCGCTGGAGCCCAGCAGGTTGATGCTGGGTGGCATAAGCGTGCCACTGCAGTCCAGCCTGGGCGACAGAATGAGACTCCAACTCAAAAAAAAAAATGTGTGTTAGATAGACCCCTTTTGTGTTTATGATGAAGTTCACTAAAAAATACATGCAGTATAATAAAATGGAAGGAAGGACGGTGAAATGGGAGTGGTGACTAGAAACTTCTGAGGGCTTTGCTGAGGGTGGGTTTTTTTTGTAGTTTTTTTGTTTTGAGTCAAAGACTCACTCCATCGCCCAGGCTGGAGTGCAGTGGCATGCTCACAACCACCCTGGTGTTGACTTGCTGGGCTCTGGTGATCCTTTCGCCTCAGCCTTCCAAGTAACTGGAACTACAGGCCCATGCTATCACACCTGCCTGGTTTTTGATTTATTGTAGAGATGAGGTCTTGCTTAGTTGCCCAGGCTGGTCTCGAACCCACAGGCTTAGGCAGTCCACTCGCCTCGGCCTCCCAAAGTGCTGGGATGACAGGCTTGAGCCACTGCGCCCGGCCGAGGGCGGGTCTTTTGAGAGAGGGAAGGTACGAGGTGGTCCTTGTGCATGTGGCATCCGCTGTGACAAGGGTGCGGTGCCCGTGCAGGGTCGCCAGATTCGGTGCTGGAAGCATGAGGAAGCCCTCTTCTCACGATGCTGCTTTCCTGATGGAGCAGGAAGTGAGGGGCTGAACTGTGGGAAGTCAAGTGGCCGTGTGGCCTCTGGGAAGGGGTCCTGGGAGTACGGCTGTCCATACTGAGTCCTGAAACAGCCGCTTGTCAGGAGCAAAGCAGGTGGCAGGAGGGACGTGTGAGGGGCTTTGGGGAGAGGTCCGCACAGTCTTGGTCAAAAAGGACCCTGTAGGACTCGGATGTTAATTCAGAGGACACTAGGGAGCCACTGGTGGGTTTGGAGCAGAGGAGTGATCCAGTGAGATGGGGTCAGAGAAGAGGGAGTGACCAGCGTGGGCCCAGCATGGGCCCAGTGTGGGCCGTGGGAATGACTTGTCTTACTGCTGCCTGCCAGGGAGGACCCTTGGGTTCCTGGGTCCCGACGGCGTCACGCCAGAACCTTCTGGGTTTGCCCACAGCTGCTCCCTCCCCCAGGTGGTGGAGATTGTGAAGAAGCTGGAGTCTCGCCAGCGGGGCTGGGAGGAGGACGAGGACCCCGAGCGGAAGGGGGCCATCGTGTTCAACGCCACGTCCGAGTTCTGTCGCACCCTGGGCGAGATCCCCACCTACGGGCTGGCTGGCAACCGCGAGGAGCAGGAGGAGCTCATGGTGGGTCCCGGCAGTCCCACCTGCGCTTCCTGGCCTGCCCCGCCCTTGGCTGGGTGGGCCCACAGGGCTTCCGGGCTGCCCGGGCAGACCCTGGTTTTTTGCCCCCATTCCAGGACTTTGAACGGGACGAGGAGCGCTCAGCCAATGGTGGCTCTGAGTCGGATGGGGAGGAGAACATTGGCTGGAGCACAGTCAACCTGGACGAGGAGAAGCAGCAGCAGGACGTGAGCAGGCCCCGCCGCCGAGGGGGTGGGGCTTGGGCTGCAGCCAGGGTGCCTGGGCGGGTTACTCAGTGTCCCAGAGCCTCAGTCTCCTCATCTGTGGAATGGGCTCTGTAGACCTCCAGGGTTAGCTGAGGACTGGGCGGGGCATGTCTCACGGACCTGGCGCCTGGCAGGGGTGCCCAGTAGGGGGCGGGAAGAGCCCGTGTGGCCTCCTGACCGCCCCCGCCATATGCTGTCTCCAGTTCTCTGCCTCCTCCACCACCATCCTGGACGAGGAGCCCATCGTGAACAGGGGGCTGGCAGCGGCCCTTCTCCTGTGCCAGAACAAAGGTAGGAGCTCTAGGCGGCCGTGGCCTTGGCGGGGCCTGCGTGCCGTGGTGGGAAGGGGCTGTGGGTACCTGTAGCTGAGGCAGGTGCAGGCTGGGCCTCCTCTGGTCCCCTCTGCCGAGGCCATGAGGCAGCTGTCCCGGCCCTGGGCCGCTCTGTCCCTTCCCCCTGGCTCTAGGCAATCCCGGTGGCTCTGCCTTCAAGGCTTTGTGTCTCCTCCAGGAAGGCGTGAGGGAGTTGAAATCGCTCCAGCTGTGGCCCAGAGAGGCCCTGGTGTTGGGATCCCAGCTCTGCTGTGTGCTTGGCCAGTGGCCCTGGGCAAGGGGCTGGTTCGGAGTCTGCTTTCTTTGCCCACTTTGCCCACGGCGCGGTGTGAGGCCCCACTTGCCTACTGAGCATGGGGGTACCAGGCCACCTCCGCCTGCCCTGGAGCTGTGCCTCTCGGAGGGTCTGGGCACCTGGGATCTCACAGCCCCTCCGTCCCCAGGGCTGCTGGAGACCACCGTGCAGAAGGTGGCCCGGGTGAAGGCCCCCAACAAGTCCCTGCCCTCAGCCGTGTACTGCATCGAGGACAAGATGTGAGTGTGGCCGGGCTGTGGCGGGCCGGGGGGACTGTGCCAACTGGGGGACACAGCGGGTGCAGTGGCTCACCTGAAACCCCCTCTGTCTCGGGCAGGGCCATCGATGACAAGTACAGCCGGCGGGAGGAGTACCGGGGCTTCACCCAGGACTTCAAGGAGAAGGACGGCTACAAGCCCGATGTCAAGATTGAGTACGTGGACGAGACGGGCCGGAAGCTCACACCCAAGGAGGTGAGAGGGGCCAAGTGTGGGCAGGCGGTCTGAAACTGTCAAGGGGTGTGAGCCCTGGAGGCCGCGCGGTGTGGCCGGGGCCCGCCAAGTGTTGGAATCTCTGTGCCTCGGCTTCTGTCTCTTGGGCCCCTCACCGGCCTGGCAGGGACTCAGACAGGCGCTTGGTGCCTCTGCCCGGCTGCCACAGCTTGGGGCCCCTCGCTGGCTTCCCCTTGGGGCCACCATTCTGGCAGGCCGCGTCTGGGCCCTGCCAGTGCCAGCCGGTGGCCCTCGCAGGCTGCCAGCCGGCCCTCCTGCCCCCGCCCCAGCCTCCTGGGTTCACCTCCAGGCTCAGCACCCGCACACAGGCTCACTCCGGGTCCCAGCACCCTCATCAAAGCACACCCGCCACCCAGGCGTTTCCACGCCTCTTCTGGCCCCCTGGAGGGTGCCAGGGTCTGTGCCCACATCCCGGCCCCTTTCCACTGCCCCCCACGCCTAGCCCTGGCCTGGGGGAATCAACACCCCCCCACCCTGTTGGGGAGTTTCTGTGGGCCCAGTTCAGGCAGCCCTGGCCCCCAGCGTCCCTGCAGCTCCTGGCCCGTGCCTGTGTCCCCAGGCTTTCCGGCAACTGTCCCACCGCTTCCACGGGAAGGGCTCTGGCAAGATGAAGACTGAGCGGCGCATGAAGAAGCTGGACGAGGAGGCGGTGGGTGCCCTTGGGGACATGGGGGCTCTGTGCCTGCTGGCACTGGGGGTGGTGGGCGTGCTGGGTCTGCCCCCCCTGTGCTGACCATCCCCTCCCTGCAGCTCCTGAAAAAGATGAGCTCCAGCGACACGCCGCTGGGCACCGTGGCTTTGCTGCAGGAGAAGCAGAAGGCCCAAAAGACTCCGTACATCGTGCTCAGCGGCAGCGGCAAGAGCATGAATGCGTGAGTAGGCCCGGTGGGCAGGTGGGGCGGGGCCCAGGTGGTGGGGCCCCAGGTGAGATGGGGGCCCGAGTGGGTGTGTGCAGTCTCTCCAACCTCTCACCCCTTCTCTCTGCAGGAACACCATCACCAAGTGAAGCCGGCCTCCCTCGCCCCCCCCTTTAATATTAAATAAAGGTCCCTCCTTATTTTTTCCTCCCTGGTCGTGGTGCAGAGTCCAGGGTCAGGCCTGGGAGGAGGGGCAGGCTGTGCCCTCAGGTGTTGGGCTGCACACTCACAGTCAGCTGTGTGACCTCAGGCAAGTCACTAAACCTCTCTGAGCCTCAGTTCCACCATTTGTACAGTCAAGACACCTGTGCTTCATAGGACGATGTGTGAGGATTTGATGAGCTCATGCGTTCATTCATTCACCCACCCACTTATTCACCTGGAGTTCAGACATGAGCAAGGTGGGACAGATCCCAGGACTCATGTGGGGGGTGTCTGGCCCGCCGCTAGGTGAGATCTGCCTCAGATGACACAGATGACTACACGAGAGGAAGGGAGAGTATTGCCCGGATCCTCTGAGACATCCTCCATGTGACCCGGGGCCACGGGTTCCTTTTCGCCCCTTCCCCACCCCCAGCAGGTAGGAGGTTCTGGCTGTGGTCCTGCCTTTTCTGCAGGGAGGATCTCGAAGGAGTGGAAAGCTGCTTTTTAAGACTTGGTTACTTGGTCTCTCCCGGCCTCCAGGGCTGCACAGGTCACTGCCCTGGAACCTCTTCTGATCAAAGGCGAGGCAGCTGGTCTGGTAGGTCAGGGCCTGTGCTGTGCAGAGCAGAGGTGCCATCTCCCGCCCTGGCTCTTGTGGGCCCCCAGGTCTGTGAGTGGAGATTGGGCCTGGGCGTTGTCCTCAGCGCTGTGTCTTGCTCAGGTTGGGCCGGAGCGCACGGCCTGGGGAGGGCTGAGCCCAGGGCCTTCCACGAGACTCGCCCCATGTCCCGTGACACCAGGAAAGATGGGCTTCCTTGGCCGAGCTCTGAAGGAAGCTTGACCACACTGCTAAGGGACGCATGAAAGCCTTGAGTCGATGGAATGACAAGTGGCTGCCTTGGGAGTCAACACCAGCACCCTGTCCCGTGGACCCTCTGGGTGCGTTCCAGATGGGTCACAGAGTCTAAGATTTAAGAAAATGAAACCCAAAAAAGTCAGTCGAAGAAAATGGTGAACTTAAACATAATCTTGGGGAGGCCGGACGTGATGGCTCACACCTGTAATTCCAGCACTTTGGGAGGCAGAGGTGAGAGGATTGCCAGAGTCCAGGAGTTCAAGACCAGCTTGGGCAACTTGGCGAGAGTGCGACTCTACAATAGATCAAAAAATTAGCTGGCCATGGTCTTGCACGCCTGTAGTTCCAGCTATTTGGAAGGCTGGGGCAGAAGGATCACCTGAGCCCAGCAGGTCGAGGCTGCGGTGACTGTGAACATGCCTACTGCACTCCAGCCTGGGCAACAGAGTGAGACTCCAACTCCAAAAAAAAAAAGTCTTGGGGAGGCTGGACGCAGTGACTCACAGCTATAATCCCAGCACTTTGAGAGGCTGAGGTGGGAGGATTGCTTGATCCCAGGAGTTCATGACCAGTCTGGGCAACATAGTGAGATCTTGTCTCTACAAAAAAATAAAATATATATAGAGAGAGACTTAGTTGAGGTGAGAAAAGTATGCAAGGGGCAAACCCATGTGCCTTAAACAGCATCTGATGATGTCATTTCCGAAGGCAAAAGCCTCAGAGCCAAGTCCAGGCACCACGCTTTGGGCTCTCCAAACCCCCCCTTTCCGATTTTATTTTCGCTTTGCTACTTCCTCAGGAGGGGTGCCTTGGGGTGCACCAGGGGCCTAGGATGTGGGAGGTGCTTCCATGTGGCCGGGCAGTCCGGTGTCCCTGGAGTGGAGCACTGGCCCTGGCCTTGTCAAAGATCATGGCCCTCTGTGAGGCCGCAACCCTCAGTCAGCATAAACCATCAAGGCCTGGTCCAGAGCCTGGGTGGGCCCGGGTTACTGCCTAAATTTTTGGCCTTGATGGGCCGACCAAAGTGTGAACCAGGAAACGGAATGGCCTTCCAAAGACTCCCTGAGGGGCCTCCTGCAGGAAGCCTCCCGGCTGGCACCATCTACCTGCTTCCTTTGCATCTAGGGCCTCTTGAGGGGCTTGCTCTCCGTCCTGCGCGCCCACGTCCCTAGGCTGTGCCCTGCCCACGTGCGCAGCGCTAGGAGAGGTCTGAGACCACCAAGTCTTCTGAAGGCCTGAGCCCCCAGGGCAGGCAGAAGCCAAGGCGGGCTGCGTCCCAGCTTTGCTGCTCAGTTAGGCAACACCAACATTGTCCTCACCCTCAGGTGCTTGGGAGCAGTGATGACTTGAAGGCTGGCCCGAGGGTCTATGAGCCCCTGGCCCAGGCCCAGGGGGAGCCGGGCTGGTGGAACTCGGAGGGGAAGGGCCTTTTCCTTTACTAGTCTGCCTCACGAGCTGACATCTTTCACCAGCTAGCTAACCTCACTTACTAGCTGTCTGACCTTACAAGCTGCTTGACGTTTATTAGCTGTCTACATTATTTACTAACTGTCTGACCTCACTCGCTGTCTGAACTCACTAGTCATCTGATCCCATTGACTACCTGTCTGACCTCAGACATGTTCACCACCAAGCCTCGTGTTCTCATCTGCAAAACAAGGAGCTTCTCGGCCTGCCACAAGTCACAGTTGGGGCGGCTGTTCATCCTTCATGGCATCAAATGTTTACTGAGCTTCCTCCAGCGGCGGCTGAGAACACAGCGGGGCAGGCCACGCGGACTGGCTGGGCCCGTGGGCTTGGGCCCGTGGGCTTGGGCCCGACACGTAAGCAGCCACTGCACGAGGGTGCAGGCGTGAACGGGGCGAGGGGCACAGCCCTGCCCAGCCCTCCACGTGGCCTCTGCACTCCTGCCAACTCAGCCCTCTGGGAGGCTCTCACGTGAGTGGTCTTCCTCCTCGCCTAGAGCTTCTCGCTCCAGCTGTGCCCATGCCCTGCCCAGGCCCCCTGGGCCAGATCCCAGTCTGAAGGTCCCCTTGTCAGCTCCCAGCCTGTGGCTGGTTCCCTCATGGTGGGATGAGGTCTCCCACAGGACCAGCAGCCTGTCCCCACCCGCCCCAGGCAGGGCCCTGCCTCTGACTGCAATTCACAGACACTCCCTGGGGCCCAGCCAGGCCCTGCCCACACAGGCACCCTGTGCCATGGGAGACGGGCGCCCTCTGGACGCAGGCCCTTGGGAGCACAGCCTGGTGGGTTGAATTTGCACTTATTTACCATGAAGTGTGGTGCCAAGCCCACAATTGCCCCCGGACCTTGCTCTGTGGCCTGTGTTCCACAGCTGGTCCTGTCATTGGCCCTGGGCATCCCCAAGGGCAGACCGGGGGCTGCTGAAGGTGACTGCCAGGTGAGGGCTTGGCCACACCGGTGTCAGGGTTTCTGGGGATCACTGTCTTGAGCAGGAGGGACAGGCTGGTCCCCAGAGGAGAGCAGGGCTCACTGGCTGCAGTGGAGAGTTCCGCCCGGTGGCGGTGTGGGTGGGCCGAGGACTCTGGCAAGGCAGACGTTCCCCAAAAGATTTTCCACAACTTTGATACAATTTAAAGCCCAAAGGAAAAGTTGCAAGACCCATACAGAAATTCCCCACCACCGAACCATTTGAGAATAAGCTTCTTATTATGGCATGGTTCCCCACTGCCCTAAGTAAACTATGTGTTTCCTATAAACAATGTGGGACTTTCTCCTGCATGGCCTAATACCACCAAGGAAATCGGAGAAATTACCACGAGTGCATCTCCTCCATCTTATTTTAGTTCCCAGTGGTCCTGATGTCATGACCAGCCAGGCATGGTGGCTCATGCCTGTAATCCTAGCTCTTTGGGAGGCTGAGACCAGCCTGGGCAACATAGCAAAACCTTATTGCTACAAAAAGATAAAAAAATTAACTGAACGTGGTGGCGCATGCCTGTTGTCCCATCTACTTTGGAGGCTGAGTTGGAAGAATCACCTGAGCCCAGGAGATCGAGACTGTGATTGTGCCACTGCAATAAACAAAAAAAAAGGAGCCAGGCTCGGTGGCTCAGCCTGTAATCCCGTGCCTTTGGGAGGCTGAGGTGAGTGGATTGCCTGAGCCCACGGGTTTGAGACCCGCCTGGGCAACTTAGCGAGACCTCATCTCTACAGTAAATCAAAATGAGCCAGGCGTGGTAGTGTGCACCTGGAGTTCCAGCTACTTGGAAGGCTGAGGCGGAAGGATCGCCGGAGCCCAGCAGGTCGAGGCTGCGGAGGTCTGGAGTGGCCACTGCACTCCAGTCTGAGCGACAGAGTGAGATTCCAACTCAAAAAAAAAAAAAAAAAAACATCAAAAAAAGAAATAAGAAAAGTAGAACATATAGCAAACAGGGAAAACATGATATATATTAATGTAACTATATCAATATTCACTTATTTTTTTGAGTTGGAGTCTCACTCTGTCACCCAGGCTGGAGGGCAGTGGAACGCTCACAACCACCGCAGCCTTGACCTGCTGGACTCAGGTGATTCTTCTGCCTCAGCCTTCCAAGTAGCTGGAACTACAGGCATGCACCACCACACCCAGCTAATTTTTGATTTATTGTAGAGATGAGTTCTCACCAAGTGGCCCAGGCTAGGCTCGAACCCCTGGCAATACTCAAATATTAATACACTGATTTGAAAAAAGACATTTTGGGGGAGAAGAGGAGGGAGAGGTAGGGGAAAATAAGTTAATTTAAAAAAATTCCGGCGCTAATCGGGGAAGTTTGAACACTGGGTATTAGGTGACACAAGGAATTAATATTGTGGGTATGATACTTGCATGGTGGTCCTATTTCTTTCTTTTTCTTTCGAGTTGGAGTCTCACTCTGTCGCCCAGACTGGAGTGCAGGGGCACGCTCCTGGCCACCACAGCCTTGACCTGCTGGACTCCGGCGATCCTTCTGCCTCAGCCTTCCAAGTAGCCAGAACTACAGGCGTGTGCTACCACGCCCAGCTAGTTTTTGATTTATTGTAGAGATGAGGGCTCGCTGAGTTGCCCAGACGGGTCTCGAACCCGCAGGCTCAGGCAATCCGCTCGCCTCGGCCTCCCAAAGTGCTGGTATGATAGGCTGAGCCATCGAGCCCGGGTGGTGGTCCTATT